GAGTGCTACCCAGACTTTTTTGCCCTGGGTTTCTCCCCACAGGCTATACTGTAGGCCTGCACTAACATATTACTAGAGGTTGTAACAGTTGCGTTGAGAATAACAAGAAGACCTGCCATACCATAGACACACTATGTAGGACTAAAAAAGTTGTGTCCAAATGTCTTAACCAAACTACAAACTGATTAGAACAGTAAAACGGGGGATCAATGATGTACATACCCTGTATCTATTTTAGTCATGCTGCACGCCAGAGAGCATATGGGGCATGATGAAATGAGTAGGAATTAATTGTCATAAATTATCCTTGAGTTAATAGAGTATGTATGTACTTGTGCAGTACAATGTGTAACTGCATAAAGTATGTATGTGTTGAAAACTAAGTGAGTCTTGACATACCAAAACAGGTGCAACCCCACTGCATCTTGGGAAAGGGCTATACACAAAGCAGATACATGACAAATACAAATATTTAATGTTTTTTAAAATTAATTCCAACAAGATCACCCAAAGATATTGATTTGTATTACATGGCTTAGTTGAACACTCGATTATGATTGGTCAATTCAGAACACGTGACACGTTGTTAATCCAGGACAGACAGACCCCTGATGAGCCTGTCGGGTGTTCTTTTCCCCATAATGACCGCCTCGCTGAACATTATCCCTTACTGTACATGAATGAGTTAATATTACATAATAGTATATCATGTATTAATGCTACTTTATTGTTAAATAAAATCAAATTGATATTACCTTAAACCGGTTACATGTTCTGATCAACACATTTTACAGTTCTAAGATTTTTCATATATATATTTAGTTTTATACAGTATCCTAGTATTGGTCGGACTTTTGTGGGAGGTTTGGAATGTAGTTTATATATAACAAAGGCTTTCTTGATCCAGATAAAGTGTTAAATCTGTATGAAAAAACTAGCAGTTGCCTCCTGCACCTCTCCTTCTACACTACAAGTGGATGGTAACCATACACTTATATTGTATCTGTGGGTGGTTGTTTTGTTGGTGCAAAAGCTACATGTATTGTACTGTAAGTGCATTTCTTATGAGAAATTCCTACAGTAATAATTATGTTTGCTTTCTTTACTCTTACACAAAATTGTTTCCGTGTATCTTGGGCTACAGAAAACGACATTACAATAGAAAAGCAGTCTTGTGGTTCTGTTAGCCATCCTCTGACAGCAAGGTTATTTTTCAATTACTTTAACAGCCGGTGTAAATCAATTTCAACATGAAAGATGGTCATCTGTTTAGACACAAATCACTGACACTGCACTTTGCTCTGTGTGATGTGTCTGACAGCTGTCTGAAGGAAGTACGTTTTAGCAATCAGTATCCAAAACCACCTCAGAAGATGTTGTAATTTACCACTTTACAAAAACTACTGCCGCCCCATTCAGAATGGATCTCCACCACATGCTGCGGAGCGAAGAGCTGCCCATCTGATGCAATGGTTTCCTCACTGAGCAAACAGATAGACATAAAACACATGCTCAAAGATAGCTGTTATTTAACCTCAATCCACTTAAAACATCACAGACACTAAAAACCATTTCATAGTCTGCCCTACACATTATACATTTGACTTTCAAAAGCTGATATGGAAAGTAAACACATCCAAACTGTAGAGTGCCTTTGCCTCGGATATATATATCTAATATATCTATATATATATATCTAATATATCTATATATATATATATTTTAACAGTAAGAAGCCTTATTTTCATTCACAATGTGTGCCTAGTGAAGAAACATTAGTGTCAAAAGCTTTGGCTAATGGTAATTATTTCCGCATGGGGTATAATGTAGATATTTTTAGTGTGACAAAAATGCAACATCTTGAGGCGATTTGAGTCGAATAATCTGATATTATATTCTGATATATTGTTCATACAAATATGCAGTTTAATATTCTACGGATGTGACCTGATCTTGATGGAACATTATATTTTGAACTTTTTTTCGGCATTGCTCTGATTAAAAATAAATTGAACTTTTTGTATTATGTCAGGTAAACACTAAAAAGAAGTCTCACACCTGGTGTGTATCTGGCTCCATGATTTATGACAATCTAAAATGTCTCCTACCTAAGCCAAGGTGTCTATCAGCATGCTTTCAATCTCTTTTAGATAAGAGTCCCCTCGCTGAATCCCAACAAGCTGTCTGGCCTTGGACGGAATACTGAAACTTTTAAGCTGAGAGATGCTGCCTGAGATGTGTGTGTGTGTGTGTGTGTGTGTGTGTGTGTGTGTGTGTGTGTGTGTGTGTGTGTGTGTGTGTGTGTGTGTGTGTGTGTGTGTGTGTGTGTGTGTGTGTGTGTGTGTGTGTGTGTGTGTGTGTGTGTGTGTGTGTGTGTGTGTGTGTGTGTGTGTGTGTGTGTGTGTGTGTGTGTGTGTGTGTGTGTGTGTGTGTGTGTGTGTGTGTGTGTGTGTGTGTGTGTGTGTGTGTGTGTGTGTGTGTGTGTGTGTGTGTGTGTGTGTGTGTGTGTGTGTGTGTGTGTGTGTGTGTGTGTGTGTGTGTGGCTATGGGCGGGTAAGTTTGGAGTTTGTCATTGACTCAAACTTGTTGTATGGTACTTCTACTTTCCACCCTATGTGGCAGCGATCGGCATAATAAAAACAAAGAGAACTACTCCCTCTGCACCTGTGTAAACATAGACATTGATTTGGTCAGAATCCAACTCTTATACAAAGCAATCTTTCCAAAAGAGTGTGAGAAGATCATTTGATTTTGAATGTTTGTCTTCTTCTGTCAGAAGAAGTACAGAAAATTACTAGACCGGAACTTGATGGAAAGATGTAGCATGGGCCAAATAACAACCCCATATATTATATTGTGTTTTACATTTGTTAAAATAGGAAGGAAGAACATTAGTACTGTGTTAATGTGGTGTCAGAATCATTGAAGAAATGATTGTTCCCACATTCCATTTTAAAGTTGAACTTTAACAATTTTAGTTCACTGCAATAGTATATTCAGACAGTTCAAGTAATGGCGGGTCAAAAACAATGGTATAGGTACATGTAAAATGCTGCCATTGCATTATGGAAAAACTGCTCCTAGGAATATAATGCCTCCTCAATGTATTAAAGGGGACCTATCATGCAAAATGCACTTTTTGATGTATTTTGTACATAAATATGTGTCCCCGGTGTGTCCAGTGTATGAAGCCTTTGAGCTCCACTGTTTCATAAATAATCCTTGATCTAATAATCCTTGTGTTTCATCACCGCAGCATTTTAGACAGTATCTGCCAGGTCCCGCATGAGCCCTCTTATTTATTTATTTTTCAGTTTAAAAAAAAAAAAACAGCTTTATTTTTTAATTTTGTATTTAGCCTTTATTTATACAGGTGAACATCTCATTGAGACACAGGGTCTCATTCTCAAGAGAGACCTGTTTATATCCAGAATCAGCAATTGTGTAACAGGAAGAGAAATAGAGGGGTATGAGGCATGGCTAGAATGGGTGATCTGTTTTTTTTACCAAAACACTTCATAGACATGTTTTTTATATTTTTTTATATATCTGAGACCTATGCTATTGTCTAAAAATAGCATGATAGGTGACCTTTAAATGGTGTCTGTTTTGTATTGAGTTAAAATAGTGCTTTCAAATACTTGAAAAGTTGCTCCTTTTAAAGTTCTATGCATTGTTCAACACTTCACAGAGGTTGGAATTAGAGACTAATTACTGTCCATCACACATCAAACCCAATGCTATATTCAGACCTTTTTTGCACCTGTGATAAAATACAGTGTCTGAAGATTCCGAACCAGAAAATAATGATGAAGAAACCTTAAAGATCAAATGCAAAGGTTTTTTTTTATAATTGCCAGTAAAATAGAAATCATATAGCTACAACACTATCTAAGATATTGGAGTACCCCTCTGGAGTCGGTGGAAGCGCCGGCGCGTCCAAGTGCACATTTATTTACGTATTTAATCATATATTTTCGCTTGTAAGGAGCAGTGTTGGGACTAACGCGTCACAAGTAACGCGTTACCGTTACTACATGGTGCGTTACTGCGTTAGTTTTTTTATATAGTCAACAGCCAGGCGAACAGAGATGAGAACTGTACTTAAGTACTTGAGTAAATGTACTTAGATACTTCCTGTGTCACATGCGGAGACGGGCTGTGGGCGTGTTTGTGTTGTTTACTAACAAGACTATCATGGCGGCGGCGGAGCTCAAGTCTAGTTTCTCCACCTGGAGATATTCTCACTATTTCACTTTTGTCGAGCACAAAGAAAATAACGTTTTAGTTAAATGTAAGTTGTGTCTTGGCGGGTCAAAGATCCTGTCTACTGTCCAAACCAGTCATTCAAATCTTTTAAAACATCTGCAAAAACAACATGCTGGGACGAAGCTAGTAGCTAAGACCACAGAGACTCAGCCGACGCCACTCCACCTCCACCTAAGCAACAGCGGCTGGATTTTAACCAAGGGACTGCTGGCCAGGGAAAAGTTGATAAAGCCATTGCACGGTATGTTGTAGAACACATGCAGGCTATTGCTACAGTGGAGTCACCCGCTTTCAGGGAGCTAGTTAGCATGATAGCATGTCCGGGCGGCACACGGCATATGGGACGGAAAACCTTTTCCAACTACCTGGAGAAAGAATATACAAAAATGGAAAGCCAGCTAATATCGATGCAATCCAGATTGCATATAATGCATGTCAAGTTGATCAACAGATTGTATTATTCTCCAATGCAATAACAGTACTGAAATGAAGGCTATAAGGGCATTAATGGGAGAAATTTTTCCAAGTAACGAAAACGTTACTTTTCACAGTAACGCATTACTTTGGGGTGTAAGTAACTAGTAAAGTAACTGAGTTACTTTTGACATGAAGTAACTAGTAATGGTAACTAGTTACTGGTTTTCAGTAACTAGCACAACACTGGTAAGGAGTAGAAATATGATTCAGATATCTGCGGAATCGCTAGAATCGTAGCTTTTGAAGAGTATCTCCTGTGAGACTGTACCCAGGGCACAGCAGCCAATATTGCCGCTCAAAGCAGCTTGATTCGGCGTTACACTGTGTGTGATTGGTGGATTTGTGTGTCAGTCAAGGACATCTCGGCCGGCCGGCAGCCATGTCGGTCTGAAATGACCAATGGACACTCTAGAAATCTAAGGACCTACCCACCAATAAAAACATATATAACAGGTGTCTCCCATCAGTTTCAGTCTTTTAGTCTGTGAAGAAGATAGAGAAAATGGCTCGAAGGAACTTTACCGTTGCGGACGCGCTGGATTTTATTTTCGCGAGCGGCAGTGAAGAAGATGGCTCATCAGAACCTGAAGGCTTCGACTCTTCTGAAGAAGAAGAATACAGGGACAGCAGGGATCCATTTGAGGATGGGTAAGTGTAAATATAACTTGTAGTGCATTTGCCATTTTGTGAGGAGTACCGCGAAAATGAACAATGGATTTATCAACCTTTTTATTTTCCCCTCATGAACTTTTTCTCGGGACAAAATAGACTCTTGATTAGTAAACGTTTACTCTGTGTAAATGTTATTTATGTGTAAACGTTATTTTGGCATGTATAAGTATATGGAGGACGGAACATGACTTAAGTATAAATAAATAAATGTATGAAGAAATACAGGAATAAATAAATACGTAAATAAATAAATAAATACAGGAATAAATAAATGACGAAATAAATACAGAAATAAATAAATGTTGAAATGAATACACAAATAAATAAATAAAAGAATAAATGCATAAATAAATGCATAAATAAATATGGAAATAAATACATCAATGTATAAATAAATAAATAAAAGTCGAAAATAAAACAGAACACACGTTATTATATATCTTTCATTTATTTCTACATTTACGCGACATACATTTATTTATTTATGTGTCCGTATGCTAATGAGGTGGGCGGTCCTAACCTCAGTCTGAAGCAGGATTGGTTACAGGAGTGTGTGATCATTTCTGGCAGAGGGCTCTACTACTAACGCCTGGATAACCGCGCTGATTCGAATGCAGGAGCTTTACTGTTTAGCCCTTATCTTTATACATCCATGGTTTATCCACAGTTGTAAGGTTTATTTATGGATATTGATTTAAGAGCCATTGGAGATCATTTATGATCATTAGCGGACCATTTAGAGAACGGAGAACCAAAAGACTATGTCCAGTTTCGTGTGGAACGATGTATCGAGGACTTGGCTCAGCTCGACATGATGTGACTTGCCACGAATCTATTGCTTCTGCCTGGCTCCAACAATTGGCGAATCCTGCTTCAGACTGAGGTTAGGACCGCCCACCTCATTAGCATACGGACACATACATGTAGAAATAAATGAAAGATATATAATAACGTGTGTTCTGTTTTATTTTCGACTTTTATTTATTTATTTATACATTGATGTATTTATTTCCATATTTATTTATGCATTTATTTATGCATTTATTCTTTTATTTATTTATTTGTGTATTCATTTCAACATTTATTTATTTCTGTATTTATTTCGTCATTTATTTATTCCTGTATTTATTTATTCCTGTATTTATTTACGTATTTATTTATTTATTCGTATTTCTTCATACATTTATTTATTTATACTTAAGTCATGTTCTGTCCTCCATATAAGTAAGGTTACATGTGTAGATGAATAAAAATAATCCTTTATTCGTTCCACAACGGAGACATTTATAGACATGTATTTTATTTGATCATACTGTTCTGTACAGATGAGACTTTGTCATAGACTTATTTACATGTGTGTCTCTGATAAACTTTATGTGTAAACGTTATTTTGGTGTGTATAAGTAAGGTTACATGTGTAGATGCATGATATAATCCTTTATTTGTCCCACAACGGAGATATTTAATTTATTTATATGTGTGCCTGCCATTTGTGGGGAGTGCTATGTAGTAATGGGGAGTACAATGTGTGTGTGTGTGTGTGTGTGTGTGTGGAACTTCGTAATAATTATTGTCCCACAATTTGTATTTGTTTTACAGAGAGGTTTCACAGCTGCCTGGGCCTAGCTGCCCACAGATGACATTTATCCAGGAGCCTCCAGCTGTGCCTGCCACCATGTTGAGATCTACCGTGGATCAAGGGCCTTCACCACTGCCATCCCCACCAAGCACTAGCGGACCAGCATCACGACAGCTGCCTCCATCTCTGCCTGCGACGAGGTCAAGATACACCTCAGCTCCACCACAGCCACAGCCATCACCATCAACCCGGACAGCAAAGAGGTCTCATAGAGCACACGTACCTCCCACACAGCCACCAGCTGCCCATGCACCATCACCCCCACCTGCACAGCAGCCAGCTCCACTGTCTTGGAAGACAGGCGAAGACCCTGACACTGCTCCCACTGTCTCCAGGTTTCAACCTGCTCGCACACCCGGGCCACAGCTCAGCTCAACAGTATCAAACAAACCCCTTGACCTGTTCAAGCTGTTCTTCAGTGCACTAACAGTACAGACACTCTGTACCAACACAAACAAGCGGGCTGCACAGGAGATGGGGAAAGGGTAAAACCTACAAATGGACTGACTTGACTGTAGAGGATTTCTATAAATACATGGGGCTGCTGAAACTGGACAATGTATTGGACTACTGGAGGAAGGATCATTTTGTCAGTGTATAATGAATAGTTGGTTGAAGGAAAAAAAGTTCTGATGTTCAATATTGTAAATAGTGAGATTTTGCAGTTATATTTATATACATTGTTGGTATTATAATAAATTGTTGGTTGAAAAAAAAAGTTCTAATGCTCAATTCTTTTTTTTTTTACACATCACATGAACCTTGTTATGTAATATGAAGTCATTATTCAGTCCTGATGTATCTCAGTCCCTGCTGTGGTGAAAGTAGAGTGATTGACAGCTGTTTTACTCAGAATGCGAATTTATAAAATTTCATTTTAGACATGAATAACACATTTATATACAGTGTAATTCAAATATTTCACTACTTTTGTAATCCTAAGACTTTGGTAACCAAATCTAAAACACCAAAACAATTCGATCACATGAGTAAATTTGTGTTTTCACAAGAGTTTTGAAGATTTTCCCAAAATCGGATGTCAAATTTTAAGCTTTTGAGCTACTTATCTCATCAAACAGTGCTCTAAGGTGAGTCATTTGCATATATAGCAATACTAGAGATTGTCCTGAACATTTTGATATGTAACACATGGGTGCCATTTTAGAAGAAATACATTTAAAAGGTGATTTAAGAAAACATCTAAAATCGAGAAAATACCCTTAGACTCCAGAGGGTTAAAATCGGAGATAATATGCGTCTGGCAATGCGCAATATTTATTTTGTTCAACCCCCAACACCAAATCCGACGATTTATTTTCTCAGCCGCTCCTCCGCAAGATGGCGTCGCGTGACGTCACAGTGGCCAAACAAACAAACCTTGGCTTATCGCTCACAGCTGCTTCCGCCGATAGTACAACTTAGTTTCGTTATCATGTCTGATTCTGAGTAGACTATAGACTAAAAGCTTTAGGAATCCAAACTATAACATATAATAAGTACCCTGTATCAAGATTGATGCAAAACAAGTGAAATTTGACCTTTTCAGAGAGGTTTAGAAAAAGAAAGTCCAGGCGCTCTGAGTGAGCCTCTGAATTAGCCCCGAGCGAAAAATGCTCGCAGCGGCTCGCAGCGGCTCACAGCGGCTCGCAGCGGCTCACAGCGGCTTCCGCCGATAGTACAACTTAGTTTCGTCTATCATGTCTGATTCTGAGTCGGAGGCCACCCAATATCTGGAGTATGTTGTCGACATCCAACTATATCTATACGAGCCTCTGTTGTCGAAGAGGAAATACAAGGAAACGTCACCTGATATCAGTGCTGATGGCGATGATTCAAGTTCGCCATCTGAGGAAGAGGCCGAGGGTGCTGAGAATTGGTGTAGATTTGGAAACTGCCAGACCATGCATACAAGCCGAGAAAACAAGTGCTGCCACAACTATGGGAAAGTGAAGGAAGAGATGGGAGAAGAAGTCTGCATCACCGACTGTAGGACGTTCGACATTTTCCGTTATGAGTGGAGGAGCGATGAATGAGCTGCAGATAAACTACAATGCTAACAGTGAATTAGCCCCGAGCGAAAAATGCTAACCTATCACTCCTAGCGCCCTTATTACTTATCCTAGCTCCACATCCAACACATTGTTTATGATCGTAAAGACACAGAATCTAACGGTGCCCACCTCTATAAGCAATAAAACTGCAATTCCGTTATCTGCGTTATCTGCTGTGCTCCGTGCGCTTTGAAATCTAATCAAAAGTTGTTTACCTCAATTCTTTGGCGTTTCTGCATCGCCCGGCTCTTTCGTTCTTTCAGTGGTTTCTTGTGCTGAAATGTGGAGGGGACGGCTCCGGGTTTCAGCCTCCGACGTGCTATTAATGCTTCTCCACCAACAGACTTCATGATAGCAGGATCAACGTCGTATGCATCACACGCGAAGTGGTCAGAACACAACTTGCTCCATTTTGTCGGTTGCCATCCAACACGATTCACTAAAAAAATCCATTTTTTGCGGATGATTTGGTCTTTGGGAAATGCATGTAAAACTCTCCCAGATCCCGCACCGTTCGTACAACAAAATGCTCAACAATAACCCATGTTAATTCAGTTTTATTTTCGAAAAACATGTGACCGAGACTGCCGAGTCGGGATATTTGGTCCAGAGACTGTTTGGCCACTATTACGTCACGCGCGCGGAGGCTGCTGGGAATTACATGTCAGAAATTCAGACGGCTTTGGGTCGAGTTTTGGATCAATAAAAAGCTTTTTTTTGGGTGTATTATCTCGATTTAAATAAAATAAAAAATACAGGCAGTCTTAAAAACAAAATTTCTATAAAAATGTAGCATATTTGGAAGCTTTGCATTTGATCTTTAATAACAAACAATATAAAAGCAATTAACATGCATTGCTGAAAGTCCGACCACTAGTTCACCATACAAGTTTACAATATGTGCAGCATTTACAAGTACATTCAAACAATGAAAACCGATAATTTAAACAATTAATTAAGTAATCTGTGAAAGTTAAGGCACTAGAAACAATACAGGAATAATTCATCAGTATAAAAGATGCATTGTGTTTAGAAATGTGCTAGTTACAGCAGTAAGCCATTCACACTACACTTAACTCTGGCTGTTTGATATTTCTGATGGTTTCTGTGCAACATCAACAACTGAGTCATACATATTTCATGCCTTTCCTTCCCGCCACCTGAATTGCGATGAGGTCCACAGGGTTCTGTTACACTGTGAAGATCAAACCTCTCCATGTGAACGCAGTCGGAGAAACTGTTAGACATATAGAATGCACTGGAGTGAAAGGGCGGGAAAAGCCACACGAGCTGACCGTAGCTCTTGAAATATAGGACTAGTGAATGTTGGAATACTTCACATTTTCATAATATGTTCTTGTCATGTCACTCATTAATTAGTTACATTGTTCCTGTACCTTAAAGGTCACCTATTGTGCAAAATATTGTATACATAAGCATGTGTCCCCTCTGTGTAAAGAGATTCTGAAAGTTTCAGGAAAAAAGATTCTCTAATATTTTGTCCTGATCCATTTATATAAAAATCTGTCTGAAAATGAGCTGATCAGTTTTGGCCTGTTTATGATGTCATAACGTTTGGCTTGTGTAACCATTAGCCAATAACCAACCAAGGTACCCCCCCCCCCCCCCCCCACCTTATCACCTGAATCTCCTCCTAGAGCACCATAGTGTTCTTTTTAACCAAATATCTCTCAGAGGGGCGTTGGGAGTGGCTCCTTATTTGCATCTAAGGTAACAGACACAGAATCAGCACTTTTGAAACAGGGCTGAAACAGAGGGGATTATGGGATGCTACAATGGACGATCTGTGTGGTGTTTGGAACCAAACATTTCAGAGACAAGTTTTGTATATATCTGAGACCTAATATATTGATGAAAAACAGTGTAATAGGGGACCTTTAATCTCCTTTTCTCAATTAATTTGCCATTATAACTGTAATGCAGCGAATGCTTCAGTGTTGCATACTCATTAACATTGAAGAGCAACCAACACAGGTGGTGGACAGTATGACACACGTCAAAACACCTACACCTATTTGTTTCCATAAAACCCACATACCAGTGACATCAATATTCATGTTACCGTGTGAAGTAATGGCACTCTTCAATCTCCCAGCATACGGCACACGTTATTGCTCAAGACTTAATCACATTTGGCACATCGCAGATGATGTACCTCAGAGGGGTTCAAAGGCTGACACTGTGAGCCCCCCCCCCCCCCTCACACAACATGTAGATATTATTTGGAGGATAATCATTCTCAAAGTTTTGGAAGTAAAGTTCTGAAGCTTTGAGGGATATAAACAGGAAGTAGTATGTTGCCATGGATTTAGTGAGTCATGCTGTGGGATACAACTTTAGCGCTTATTCTTAAAAATAGCTAGTGGCACTTTATTATTTGTGCACTGTACCAATAGATGTACAGACATCTTTCAATGGATAACTTTAAATACTGAATGACTATTAAAAACATGCAGATGTTCAGGCAAGTCCTAGAGCATCTTTAATGCACACTGAATAATGTTTACCTTGTTTTTTTCTCCATTTCCATTCATTTACAATATAGAGAACAATTACATATTGACATCTTCAGAAAGCCTATATAATACGTCTGGAGTTATGACCTCGCAAAGAAGTATACTTTTTATGTGAATTGTAGTAATCAGGCAGCAAGGTTTTAAAGTACCTTAATAGTTGTCAAATGGACCAAATCAGCGGCTGAACTAGAATAACTTCTGGCATTCAGGTAAATTGAACCTTGTGGCTGTATCTTTGCTTCCCCTTTTGTCCCTTCACATACACTTTGTGTACGATTATCAAATGATACGTAGTAAGAGAGTACCAGTGGCAATGTTCATGTTAGAGTGTGATGCTTAAAATGACCAGAAGGTCTAGAACTGACAGTCACAGTTTGTCAAGGCTTTAGAGCGTGGCAGCCAGCACAATACCAGTTGGTGTTCAGAGTGCTCACAGTGCCTTGATCTGAATCCCAGTCTGCTCAGTCCTGTTGATTAAGCATGTGGCTGAGCTAAATATAAATAGTGGAGGATTCAGCCTTCAGAACATGGACACAAACCTCCAAACATTGTGAAACACAGAGACAATATCTAGTTTTCAGACCTGTCAGAAGTTTCCCACATTGAATTTCATGAAGTGTATCTAATAGTTCAAATTACTGCTAACATATAGCTGTTTTCCAACTTTAAAACACAACCATGCCTTTTAGACTGTGTCCGTTTGCACCAACTGTAGAGTACCAGCGAATGTTTTCAGCCCTCAAGCTATAGGATGCAGTAGTAAGATCTGTCAGAAGATCTTCAGTAGACCTTTGCTTTTTATATGAACATCTCCTACTCTTTATTCAATCTGAAGTCATTCCACGCTTTTATGTCCCACTTGTGTAGTTTATTTGACCTTTACCTCCCCCCTTCCCCTTTAAAGATCAGTGACTCGTCAGTAGTTTGCTGAGTTGTATACATGCTATACCATGTTGACGGTTGGAGAAAATATCTCCCTGCTCTACATTTCTTATTCATGAAGTTATTTATTTATTTGCACGTTTCATGGTGCATCTCTGGCTCTGTTCCCTCTACAGTCCTTTCAATATCTCATTGTGAAAGCAAACAAATAGTCTATATATGGATATTTTCTGATGAATGAGCT